AACGAGCATCGTCAGGTACCAGGTCTTCTTGTGGTGGAAGATGGTGATGGTGAAGCAAGAACATCCCGAGTGCATTAGGGTCGCTAAGACCCTGTTGTCACCAACATAAATCCTGCAGCGTAGGCAAACGTGCAAGTGAGTTGGAGGTGAGAGGCTTTCATGGGTTGACAGCCTGAGAGACTCTCCATTGAACTGGAAATGAAACACTTCATCTTTCCCCCCACAAAGGCAGCAATTATTTTCCCAGGCGAGGATCCCTAAGCAGAACCGAGTGTGTGTGTGGTGGGGTGGAAAGTGCTGCTCCCAGGCCTTTCTGGTCGTTGAGTGGGCTGTCCGTTGTCCTGGCTGCTGAGAAGGCTGCGGAGAGGAAGGAGAAGAGAATGCTTTCAGAGGTAGTAGCTGAAAAGTCGCAGCTTAAGCTAGAAGTCACAGGAGACTCTAGTGATCTGAAGGAGATACAGTGGATGTAAGATGAAAATGTACTTGAATGTTTTTTAAGTGCCTGAGGGCAGCTGCTGGCAGGTTTGGTGCCTCTGGGTTTATGCTGCCATTGCAGCCTCAAGGATTGAATTTGAAGAACCCTTTGATTTACCCTGGACTAACCATCTTGCGAATCACAAGTTTAGTGCCTTCTGGAGCTAATGTGACCCACTGCAGCAGAACTTGTAACGCAGCGCCTCATGCTTAAGGGCAGAAATTCCTTCCCCAGGAGCATTTTTACCTTGCAGTATATTTTATCTAGGATTTGAACCCCTTCTGTAGAGGAGGTGACAGGTCAAATGAGCTGTTAAAAAAACTAAAAGCTGAAAGAAGACAGGCATGAAATGGCAACAGCTGCTTTTTGAATCTTGCTTATTAAGTCTTCCATGCACTGTATTATTGATGCACATTAGGAAACTATATGAATGGGTTTTAAACAGTTCCTGGTAGGTAAGGGTTAACTGCCTCAAGTCTGGCTGGTCTGACCTTCGCAGCTGCAGTTTTCACAGCTACTTGGGAGAGAAGATAGTGAGGTCTGTAGCTGTCAGGAAGCACCTGGCCACAATAGAATACTTAATAATACTTAAAAATAATACTTAAAGAAGTGTATTAATAGCAGTTGGAGTTGTGTGACTGTAGAACACATGTAAGTGTCTGCATACTTCAAAACAAAAGTAACTTATGTTCTGGTCAACTGTGACAAGACTTCTTAAAGTGCAGAAGTTCAGATGAGGCTGTTGCCAGGTCTAGTCACTGAGGTTCTCTAGTCCTTAGCGCTAAACTGCAACACTAATATGATGTGTGCCTTACACTCACATGAGTGTATGCCAGCTCTTAGAACCCTCTTTTGCCCTCAACAAATGAGCAGAAGGTTGGGGCAAGCATTGAATGCTTCCAAAAGGTAGTTTGATTATGCAGTGTGTCTGAAGAAGAGCAAAGAGTTGCTTACAAAGACTGGAATACAAATTGATTAGTTGTGTTATTTGACTTTGTAGCTGAAGTTCTATCCAGGATGTGGAAGAGCTCTAGAATTTTGAGGAGTGAGGTGTACTTGGTCCTTGTGAGTGGTAGTTGCTGGATGGTTAAGAAAGGAAAAAACTTTTATGAAAAGGAAGAAGTCCTGGATTTCTAATGTAATTAAAGTGCTTTTGGTGGATTTGAGGTCTAAGCCCTGAAACTAACACCTGAGTGTCTCCCAGTGATGTGTTAGAGCAAACAGTTTGGGCTTTATGTATAATGAAACCAGTTAAAAGCTTAACTTTTGAAAGTGCTTTGCACTTATGGCTCCCCTGACATCAGCTGGTGCTGCAAATGATACTAAAGTTAGGTAAGGTTTATGTGTCATCTTCATTCGTGATCTCCCTTTGACACCATCTGCTTTAAGTACTTAAGTCTGCCTCACCAAAAAAACCCAAGGTAATGACAACTACAATTTTGTGCCCACACTAATAGAGAAGCTGAGTATCATTTCAGTTAAAAGGCTTCCTGAAAATCATTTTTATGTAGAATTATTTCTTTCTAGCTAGTGTTTGTGTGTATGTAGAAAGAAGAGTAGAGCATAGGATATATCTAAGAAGCATGAACAGAAAGTCTGACTTATGTTTTTCTTTTTCATTCCACCTCCCTACAGTTTCTTTGGAGAAGAAAACCCTTAAGATGGCAGGCAAAGGAAGTAACACAGACTGCATGTCATGCAGTGTACTGAATTGGGAGCAGGTCAGCCGTCTGCATGAGGTTCTTACAGAGGTGGTTCCAATCCATGGACGAGGTAACTTCCCAACACTGAAGATAACTCTGAAGGACATTGTTCAGACTGTTCGGAGTAGGCTGAGTGAAGCAGGCATTGTGGTGCACGATGTCCGTCTGAATGGCTCTGCAGCTGGCCACGTCCTGGTGAAGGATAATGGTCTGGGATGCAAAGACCTGGATCTCATTTTTCAAGTTTCTCTTCCAAGTGAGGCAAAGTTTCAGTTAGTTCGAGATGTGGTGTTGCGATCCCTCTTGAATTTCTTGCCAGAAGGAGTAAGCAAGCTAAAAATCAGTCCGGTCACACTGAAGGAAGCCTACATCCAGAAGCTAGTCAAAGTGTACACAGAGTCTGACCGCTGGAGCTTGATATCACTTTCCAACAAACATGGCAGGAACGTGGAGCTGAAGTTTGTAGACTGTATACGGCGACAGTTTGAGTTCAGCGTGGACTCCTTCCAAATCATACTGGACTCCCTGCTCTTTTACTATGACTACTCAGAAACCCCTATGTCAGAGCACTTCCATCCAACTGTGATCGGGGAGAGCATGTATGGAGACTTTGAAGCAGCTTTTGATCACCTCCAGAACAAGCTGATAGCTACCAAAAATCCTGAAGAGATCCGAGGTGGTGGGCTTCTGAAGTATAGTAACCTCTTAGTACGAGACTTCAGGCCCATGGATAAGGATAGGATCAAAACGTTAGAGCGCTACATGTGCTCCCGATTCTTTATAGACTTCCCAGACATCCTGGATCAGCAGCGCAAGCTAGAGACCTACCTCCAGAACCACTTCTCCAAAGAAGAGAGGAGCAAATACGACTACCTCATGATTTTGCGCAGAGTGGTGAATGAGAGCACCGTCTGTCTCATGGGACATGAGCGAAGGCAAACTCTCAACTTGATTTCTCTGCTAGCCCTCAAAGTGCTGGCAGAACAAAACATCATTCCTAATGCCACTAATGTTACCTGTTACTACCAGCCAGCACCTTATGTTAGTGATGTAAACTTCAGCAACTACTATCTTGCAAATGCTCCTGTGCCGTACAGTCAGTCCTACCCAACTTGGTTGCCTTGCAACTGATCGTTTCACTTGAGTGTTCCTGAGTGGAGGCTAGTGAAGGCCACGATGCTGAGTGTAGATATAGACAAGCAATAACTGTCAGTTGGACGTTTTCTAATGGAAACATGACTGCATTGGACTGTCCATTTCCTGATGTACACTAGGAATGTGCAACCAGGTGACAAGCTATGAACCTTTCAATATATCTCTACAAATGCCAAGAAGCCTTATTACCTCTTCATTAGGAGAAGAGAAACAGCAGCCAAATATTAAGAGGAGTAGTTATAAGACTCTGTACTAGTCCTGGAAGTGGCTATTAACGTGTGATCCAAGTGGACTGTTCAATAAACTGGGTTAGTTGATAAAGACTGTAAAATGTCTTGAGAGAAGCAGAAGCTACTCCTGGAATAGCAGCAAAACTCTGCTTTCTATTGCCTAACCTCACTACTCTACACTTCCTCAGTTCAAGTTCTGGCCAACTTTCTATTGAACTAATTGTGCAAGAGTGGGCTAGTGTCACACTTGGGCTACTTCTGCCTTCTGGCTGTGTGGAACTGGTAACTATGTTTTTCTTGAGTATGAGCATTTGGAAAGTGATGTCTCTAAACACCAAAACACCATCTAAAACTTGCTAGTGTGACAAGTTATTGAAATAGGAAATGAAACCTTAAATAGAATTGGAACCACAGTTTGAATGGTTAGGGTGGAAAAATACTGTTAAATCCAGGCTCAAGATAAAGCCTTTCTGACTGCATCTTTCAAAACAATTTTTGGCACAGCCAGAAAGTAGTGCAGCTCTTACACTGAAGTTTGGCTGAACTTGCTTCCCTACAGGTCCACAACAAGCAAAAAACCTGAACCAAAACAAAACCCCCAAACCACTGTAAGTTGCAGGATGACGTGCACTCCTGTCACAGTATAAATTCCTGAAGTGCCTCCTGAAATGAAATTCTTATTGTACAACTTCAGGCAGGTCCTGAAGGCTTAACTTTCTGTCACCACTTGAGGACCGAGTTCCCTAGTTTATCACTATCACGTGGTCACTGTATGAGATGATATTTTGAATAGTTAGAGTCAAATTCTTCCTCTTTACTGGTCTTAACCCTCACTTGAAGAGGTATATAAACCCTAAGCAGAGCTTTCCACAGAGGCTGAATGTGGTGAAAATCTGTCCATTTTCAGAATAGGCTCTGGAAAAGTTATGTACTCCCTTGGAGGTGTTAGGGGGCTGAACTTCTGGAAGGATTTGTGCTGAACGTGCTGCTTCGAACCTCCTGTGCCTTATAAGGAAGTTTAAAAATTCTGTGGTTATGTATATAATGGTACTAGTATATTAACTGGAAGATTTTCACTGAATTGCAGTAGTAAAATACATAAGGCAAATGATCTTGATTTTCCTTTGCTTAACCAGAGAAGCAGACTAGAAAGGCAAATGTAGAGCTATTTAATGTATACAGGTGCAATGTTTAAGAATACTTGTTTGCTAAACCTTTTTTATGACTTTTAGTTGTCTCTGCAAGCTTATGAGACTGAAATGCCTGATTAAGTGAATGGTTTAAGCTTAGAAGGTAAACCAGAAAGCAAGTAAAACACCAATGTATGGTTGCTGTTCAATGTGGAAAACAGTAGCAGCGCAGCACTTACGGCAGTGAGGAAAAACCTGCTTGTTCCTTGTAGGACCAAAAAGTTCTGGATACATTGCAAGTTCCTTTCACTTTTTATAACAGCTTCATAAAGACAGCCTCAGTAGAGCAGTGAGGCTATTCTTTTGTTCAGGCTTCTTCATTTAGCTTAGGAAGGCAGGGAGGGATACAATCTAGAAAGCAGACTATTGCCAAGTGTGCTTTAGGTTAATTTTTTTCAACAGTCTTGTAAGCAACTTCAGTAGCAAAGAGACAAATAATTTGGTGTCTTCAGTTGCACTCTTTTCATTAAAGGCTTCCTGAGTAGTCAGCCAAAGTAGCTAAACTTGAAAGCAAACCCAGCCTTTTTTATTAATTGTGGCTTGGATTTGATGTAGCTTACAGACAAGGCATCTCTCACCCAAGGCTTTGACTATTTGGAAGGCTTTTTAAAGACTAACATGATGCCAGTGTTGTTATGGGTGTTAAACTTAGTGGAGGCTTACTGCTGGAATGCAGACCTAGGCATGAATAATTTGTGCATGCAAGGCAATACTTGGCTTAGTATATAGTGTCACTAGAAAGAAGGAAGTCTTTTGCCTATAAGTTTGTAATTGCTATCATTTCTTAAATAGCTGTTTTTAAAGACAACCTAAGCTATATCCATTGCAGAAGAAAACTAGTGCCTAGAGGGACATACTAGATTTGCATATCAAATAGCTTACTCATGTATCTGTCTTGCATGATCTCATGGTTGATCTTTAGAAACTGTTTCTGTGTATCCACTCATGTGGAAGAAGTGGTCAGATGCTCAGGAGGAGTCCTCACAAGCTTGAAATGGACTTGTGTTTTACTAGTCCTTGAATGCCTTGGCTGCTGAACATCAGGCCAGGTGCATCTGTTGGAAAAAGAAGCGCTAGAAAAAGTTTTAATGGATTCCTGCTAAGAACGAGCTGTAGAAAGTTTAAGCTTCCTGCCATAAACATTGTGCTTTTAGTAATGTAACCTGTTGCTGAGGCCTCTAAGGAAGCTTTATGTTGAATGGCTGCTCTCTGAACAGCTGAGTTCCTGGAATTAAGTTTTGCAGAACTGCCATGCTCCCTGTCTATATCTTAAGTAACTCTGGTGTATTAGAAATATTAATGCATTACAGCCTGGCTGCTGGATGTTATGTTCCTGAGCTGCTTCCTGAACCTACTGCATTTGTCCTACTGCACAAGAGTTTGCTGAGATGCTGGTCTCCTTGCCTTCAAAATAATCTTGACAGGTAGAGCTGGAATACTCAGTAGCTTTTCATCACTGTGTTGCAAGCAATTTACCTCTTTCTGTTCCAAGTTGTCCTAGGAGCTTCATGTTGTGTGTGGCAGTGGCTTAATCTGGTGTCTGCTGGCTGGTTTGAGTTTGGGTTTATGGCAGCCCCTGTAGTGAGGAGTTACATGAGAAAGAGCACTTAAAATTAACAGTGATGACCCTAGGCCAAGTCTAAGCTGCCTGCATGATTCAGTCTCCTTTCAGTAGTTAATGATGCCTCTGCAAACCTGCTCTATCCTCTGCTGCTCACTTGTGAAGGTTAGAGAAAGACTATTACCATAACACATTCCCTGTGGGCAGTGGCATAAAAGCAAAGCTGCAGTATCACTAGACTGTAAGTCTTGTATCAGTGCATCATTCCTCAGGACTAGGCTTTTAGTCAACTAGACTATAGCTGACTAGACAACTGCCAATAGTCAATTAGACAATAGCTCTCTTCTTTCTGTTACTTCTCAACTATACTGGACTAAGCCCATCTGAGGTTAGGCATCTGTTGTCAGTATTTATTGCCAAGTCCTCCTTGACTTACAGTTTATTGGTGTACCTTCTCCACTGTAAGATTATTTATTTTATTTGAAAAAGATGCTACCAATGAGACCTAGTAGTAGATTGGGTTTTAGTTGCTGTGGTAAAATCCTAGGCTGATCTGGGGTCATTCTGAGAAGTCATAAGGTAAAGCATGTCTCAGGCTCCCTCAGCTCAAGGTTTAATTGTTGCTATGTTTGTCAGCAGCTAGTTCAGTCAATCACTAAGCTCGAGGTCAAAGACCACTGCTTACTTTTGAGTAACCATTCTTCAAAAGATCCTTGTGCTTTATTTTAACTCGAGTATCTTGTATACAAAGCAATAGTTAGTATTTAAATCTGGTCTAAACACTTAAAGCTTTTTATTGAAACATAAAGGCCCATATATTTGGACTGAATTCTGGAATTAAGCATTTCGTATGTCTTGTGCCCAGGCTTTGTGGGTTTCTGATCACTAGAATAATTACTAATGTTGACAGTAATCTCTGCTTATCACTGTTAGAGTGCTTGAGAAAAGGCCTCCTGGAAGAGAATTTGGACAAATTGTTTCAATTCTAAGTTGTCAGTGTACTTACTGATGGTACTTGTTTACTATCCCTCTCACTTTCCTCATTCAATCAAGGTGCTGTAGTTGTTAAGCACAGGAATAAGCAATAAATTGACCATAGTCATTGACATCTTGGTCTAATTTGGGCATTGGGAAAGCCAGGTGGATAGTAATACTTCTAGCATTTGCTCTAAGTCTTACCCAACCATTTTTTAAATAAGGTGAAGTGTATTTTGTGTATTCTTTAATTTCAATGAAAGTAGTTACAAGGTGGAAGGCTGGACTATAGTCATAGAAGCTTTGGAAGGAAAGGCTTGGGGCACTTTGGTTTTTCTCACTTGGATTGGAAGAGTAGGCCACTCACTTAAGTGTCTGGTTTGGGCTTGTCTCTTTCTGATTAAAATTGCACTTTCTGTTGAAATTTAGAAGTGGTTTTTGGTTTTTTTCCCTTTGTTTATTTCTTAAAGGATTTTACTATTAAAAAATTGGCTCTTGGAAAATCTGTCTCATACCTCTTTGGAAGTGATTTTTTTTTTTTTTTTTTTTTTTTGTGGGAAAATAAGGTTTTGGAGGGGTTTTTTTTTTTTTTTTTTTTTAGCTGGCAAATGAAGGTATTAGAAATATTGGATTTATGATGAGCCCAGATGTGAGACTGGTCACAGTATATTGTGCACTGTGGTGTTCACTTGTCATTCTTGGAAACTGGGTTTTGGAACTTAACGATTCTGAAATATTTGTGCAAATAAATTTATGCTAAACATTGCTTGCCTCAAGTAATTCTTACATCTAGATAATATTGATAGTGGAGCTTATTAGCCAATGTGTATAAAATACATGGTGGGGGAGAAATAGTGATAGGCTCCACAGTAAAGCTTAGGTTTAGATGTTATTCAAATGGGTTTTTTTTCTCATGAACGTACACATCTACCTCAACTTACTGAAGATGAGTGAGTTAAGTGAGACATGATTTTTTCACTTGCATTATAATTACAATTTCTGCAGAACTATTTTTGCTCTCTCTGACCATTATCTTATTTCAACTTGACTTTAAAACATGTTGAGGCACAGTCCTAGGCCTGTTAGGTAGTGTCTGGTCTGAGTAAGAGCCTGCCGTTCTCTTCTGCGATGCACTCCATTTCATATGCTATTCCAAGTCAGAGTCTCCTGTGTACCTCAACTTGTGAGCCAAGGAAGTGAGAAACAAAGTCAGCAATTGTGCAAGATATTTACAGGTTGAAAGAGTTTGTGCTTTCGTTCTGTCCTAACAGCTGATGCTTCTATGTACCGATGGCCAATGGGGACTGAGCAGGTCAAAGCTAAATAAAGCTAAGAGCATGTGGCAGTCTCCTCACTGCTCCTGTTCTAGGATCAAAAATAAATGGACTGTAAAAAGTGTGCTTGCTACTAATTTCCTCCAGAGCTCAGACCAGCTCTAGTCTCTCGGTTGAGTAATGCTGGAGAAATTCCACCCTTCAGAGCCTTATAACACCTGGAGTGGAAACTTCTGTGGAGACGAGCAGAGGCAGTGTTGTCCCTTTTCAAGATACAAATGCTTCC